CGTCAACCCAATTTAACTCACAAGGCTTGGATCAATCTGTGGTATGGTTTCCATGCACTTTCCAAAGGTGTCGCACGCTGATTTCGCCCTCTCCAGACCGATAACAAAAAAAAACAAATGGACCATAATGAGATTCGAACCCGGATCTCATGGTCAGAAAATCGAACGTTCTAACCAATCGACTCTTAAGAATATTATATATATATATATATATATATATATATATAGTCGACTCTCCGTCGAGTTCGACGTATGTGGAGTCAAACAGATCAGTTCCCAGGAAACCGACAGCCCGATAACGGCACATGAGATTTGATTATAGTGGTGTGGGTTTCGTGCAGGACCAACCACACTTTTTTAAGGGCCGAATTCAGAGACCTGGTGCCACAAGGTCCCTAAACGACCCTCATAGGTTTTGAATTCAGAGTTGTCCTTCTCCTAGACCAGTTATGAATCAAGGCTATATAACCTAGTCTGTCCTGCTATTTACCCACCTATATATATATATATATATATATATATATATATACAAATATAATTGGTATATACGGAATGAATTCCAATAACCAACAATTACTATTCTTAAAAAATTGCTCAATACAAAGTAAGAGATATAATTATTTTTTTATAATTTTTGTTTCAAGCACAATCTGTGTCTTATCAAGTGATGATGTTTTTCAACATCATCACTTGATAAGACTGAATTAACTGTTGAAACAATAACTATTTTTTGTAGTGATTTTATAACATACTTATGTTATAATTTTTTTTATAAAAATAATTATATATATATATATATATATATATGTATGTATTTATCAGTATCACTCCAAACAAGGCAGTACAGCCACTAAAATGCGAGTGGTGACAGGTGCGTTGAAGAATTAGGAACAGAAACATTAATATTGACCAGATAAAATACAATAATCGGGAGGATAGTAGAGAGCAATTAATATTGCATTTAAATTTTTCCAATTTAAAGTTGACTGGAGAGCATGGAGCAGGAAGAGAGTTCCAGAAGCGAGAAGTGCATGAAAAGAAACTCCTAGCATAGAACTTACGGCTACTTATAGCCAGCTCAATTGTAAACTGATGAGATCTCACCGCCTGTTGACTACTTAAATTTAAAAAAAAAAAAAACTCTAGGTCCCTGAGCGAATAGCTCATCCGAACAATTACCATGAAATTATTTATAAAATAGGCACAGAAGGTCAACATTACGGCGGTGGGAAAGTGACTTCAACCAAGCCGTTTCTGTATTTATTATTATTACTGACCATTACTAACAAAGTGATTTCTAACTTGGCTGGCAATCCCATAGTGGAGTCTTGTCTAAAATAGATATGCTGAAAATATCATTACTTATAGATTGATTCTGCCTATTTATCAAATGTGCCATTTATTTAATAAATTCGCCGTTGCAAGTGAAAGAATGTCGCCCTCTCACCCAGTCGAATTATAGCGATCTGCAAGCATTTTACGGTTGTCCAGATATCTCATTTCTACGTCCGTTCTAATATTGAAGCTTCGAGCCAATAAATAATCCAAACAAATGGTTCATTTCGACTAGACTGATGGAATATATGTCCTCCTACCTGGCAGTGAATACTGAGTAAGCTCCTCAATGATGATGAAGGATGCTGCGGATGCCATGGACCGAACATGTGGACCACGATGTGGTGAAAATGGAAACAAAAAACTGATACTTAACATCAGGAAGAGGCAGTGGGAATTATTATTTTCTAAGGAAAGAGGGATTCGAAAAATTAACACTCACAAGACATGGCTTGGAGGGACTGAGGAAAACTTCAAGCAATATTCCTAACGAGTCTGTGTAAATAGGTGACAGAACAATTAACGGAAGCGATACTAAGGTGAGAAATGAAGAGGAAGTCGTGGAGAATCATGATCCCTCATTTCCTGTAGTGACAGGATACATAAAAGACGGATTGGTCTGAAGTGGCTCAGTACGCTTCGTCGATTCCATAATACCATCCTGTGCCAGTCTGTAATCTCATAGAATATCAAAACTGACCATTGCTTCTGAGGGTGAAATAGTCAGTTTCCTTAGTGTGCTCTTGTTTCGGCAAATAATCACTTAACTTATTTGAATGAAAAGTTATCATTCTGAACGTTTCTCTATCACACTCTCTGCTTTACGATTCTCGCCATCAATCAGCCAGTTCAGTATCAGACGCGACCATTACTAGTAAAGTGATTCGATTGTCACCGATTCGTCTATCATTTTGTTTTTCTGACAGTCAATAGGTCAATTATCAGAACCGACGATTACTAGTGATACAATTCGCAACATTTATACCATAATTGGGGCCTTGTGTCAGTCATTAATCCAGTTAAATATCAGAATTGACCATTGTTCATGAACAGATTCGATATTCACTGTCAGTCCAATTATCGCGGGCATCTCACAATCAATAAAGCAATGAAATATCAAAGCTGACAGCTCCACAACTAATATATATAAATAATGTAAATATATATATATATATATATATATATATATATATATATATATATATATATATATATTTCATTATATATATATATATATATATATATATATATATATATATATATATATATATATATATATATATATATATCAGCATATTTTTCTCTCTTCCTCTCTCATCTTCCGATCTTTAAGTGTAGATTATATCGTCTATTGTCTGTGTCACCTCAAAATGTATACTCTTTTCCTGTGTCTATCTTTAATTTATTTTAGGTCAGCAATTCAGAAATGTATTAGACATCCGAGAATGTTCATATTTATTTGTATCTGGCCCCCCTCTTTAAAACTTCTCTCTGTTAAATTCAAATCCCCACCTTCATCTTTAGACCTCCCTGTTCTTCTCTCGTCTGTTACCCCTCCCTATAGCTTTCATTTACTCTCGCTTTCGTTCCGCAGTCTCATACATACACTCTCACTAAATTTTATTTTTTATTCCGGGAGTTATTTTTTCTGACTTCTTTTTGAATTTATAGGTCTGATGAATTGGATCGTATTTACGATTCCAATGTAATAAATTATGACAATGGAGTACTAGCGTTTAAGCCTTTTCATTATATATATATATATATATATATATATATATATATATATATATATATATATATATATATGTGTGTGTCAAAATATATATAGAAAATAGGAAGGAATTGGTTGGGTAAATAATCCAAAGTTCCTTAGTATTTTAGTTATTATTTTAAAAAGAAACATGAACCTCTTATCTCATATAGTTGGAATCATATTTTAAATAAATAATGATATATACATATATATGGGTGTGTGTGTGTAAACAATATGCCGATATATATATATATATATATATATATATATATATATATATATATATATATGTGTGTGTAAAACAATATATATATATATATATACACACACACGTATATATATAATATATATATATATATATATATATATATATATATATATATATATATATATATAATGTGTGTGTGTGTGTGTGCATAAACAATACGCCGATAAATACAGTATATATATGTGTGTGTGTGTGTGTATAAACAATACGCCGATAAAAGTATGCATATATATGTGTGTGTGTGTGTGTGCGTAAACAATACGCCGATAAAGTACAGTGCATATATATGTGTGTGTGTGCGTAAACAATACGCCGATAAAGTACAGTGCATATATGTGTGTGTCCGTGCGTGTGTCCAAACAACTTTGCTCCAATTGGTCCGATTTCAATGATTTATTGCTCATTCAAAAGCACTAGAAAAGTTAGGCGCAGGGAACGATTTTCGTTGAGCTCAGATTAAGGGTTGCCAGATTATGCGAGGTTAAATACATATATTTAAATATTATACTAGCCATTATCATTGATTTCATGGTTCAAGGGAGTAACTGTTTTCCTTTTGTATCCAAAATTGGATTATGCAGCAGTTGTAATCTTTTCTTTTGTTTTTAATGAATTATTCCTATTTCCAAGCTCCAAACCGTGGAATGTCGAGGAAGGCTCGAATTTCTTATTAAGTCGGCTGCTCCACGGTCAGCTACCCTGCCTCTCATTATAAAAAAAAAATAGTTTATTATAGCCAGAATCTTCTTTTATCGGATGAAACCTGACATAATATTCGTTCATGGAAATACAGTTGACGGCGGTCTAATTAATTCCTCTTCCGTAACGCAACCCATTTTTCACTGATCGACTGTACTTCATTTTTAATTAAGGCCGCTTGATGCTCCCGTTCCAGTCGACTACGTTTCTTTTCTCGCCTTCACCCTGTTTTTGGACGATTTGTTTTGTTTATTTACTTGAAGAAGATGAAGTTCTATATTTGCCATTAAAGCTGATCAAAGTAACACGAAATCAATCACTATATAAAACGTCACAAATTAGGTAACACCAAAGAGACCGGAAATAGCGGATTAAATCACGTGAAACTCCCTATAAGATAGCATTGTGGGTCTAGGAAGAAAAAGAGGATAAACAGCATAAAGAGGGAATTATTTTACTTTCTATAGTTAGTTTTTTTCTCCATTTTTTTTCCTTAAGGCAAGCAGTGGTGCCAGGTATCCTGGATTCAGCATAAAATTTCAGTATGTGGAATTAGTAAATACTAAACACTTCAAAATCTCAGCGTATACACCAGTTGCAACAAATTAAGTATAGAACGGGAGGGAGGCACGTTGGAGTAATAGCTGCTCGGATTGAGAAATCGGAGAGCCGAGATCGATTTCAATCGAATCCATTACATTCACTTACGTGCTAATACCCTTGGAAAAGGTATGAATCCTTTCTTCTCCACACAGCTATCGTTAAATAGCAGGACAGACCGGGTTCTATAGCCTTGGATGACAACTGGTCTACCGCAGAAAGAAATGGCGGGGAAAAAATCTGCCTCGTCAGTCATGTATCGAAAGATACATGATCACCTACGCGTGTATCGAGCATGGCACATGATTGACTGAAGTATAGGATATAAAGAATCATCATCATATGTCGTCCGCAGTCGAGATCATGTATTCCAAAGCACTACGCCAGACCTGCTGGTCCTTCATTGCTTTCCCTACTTCCTGTCTACCAGAGCCTGCATCCCTTGAGATGACGTCAGGGAATGATAGTTTTCTGCCCCTGGTCAGGTTTGATGCAGGCTTCCAGCGTAAGACAGAGAAGATAACCTCATTCTCGGCTCAGTGACAGTAGCCAGAAAACTACTCAACGAGCTCGTATGAGTGAGGAAAGACGTTGAAAACTACCGTAGATTTGGTGGATGGTCGAATGGCGTTTCCAAGAGAGGTTTTGATCACTCATCAGAAGACGGGTGTAGATTCCATCCAGATGTTTCTCCATGCCTTTAGAGAGTGTCCATGTCTCTGAGCCATAGAATAGAATCGGCTCAACAGCGGCTCTGAATATTTTGATCTTGAGTTTTCTGTTCAATTGTGATGTCCTGGTCTTGTGCATATCATTGCATACCCTTCCTCGTACTAGACAGGATCTCTGTCTGTAGCTATGAAAGTCCATAACACTACGCCAGACTTCCCAGTCCTTCATTGCTGTCCCCAAGTCCTGCCTCTTAATGCCTGCATCCTTTGAGATGACGTCAGGGGATGATAGTTTTCTACCCTTGGTCAGGTTTGACGCAGGCTTTCAATGTACGACAGAGGAGACATCCTCATTCTCGGCACGGTGGCAGTGGCCAGCAAACTGTGCTCAACGAACTCGTATAAGAGAGGAAACACGAGGAAGACTGCCGTAAATTTGGTGGATGGTCGGATGGCGTTTCCAAGATGGGTCTTGAGCTCTCATCAGAAGACTGGTGTAGGTTCTATCCAAATGTTTCTCCTACCTTTAGAGAGTGTCCATGTCTCTGAGTCATAGAGTAGAATCGGCTCAACAGCGGCTCTGAATATTTTGATCTTGACTTTTCTCTCCAGTCGTGATGTCCAGATCTTTTGTATACCATTGCATGCAAACCATGCCATGCCCTTCCTAGATTGGATGCCTTTCAAGGAGGAGATGAATGATCCTAGATATTTATATTCCTCAACTTGATTCAAATTGGTGTTATTAATTGATTTTATAGGATGATCATTTTTGGCTGCACATCTGTTCATGTATTCGGTTTTTGACTCATTGCTATAGAGACACATGCAGTTGGAGGCTTGCTCAAGAGATTGTAGAGGAGCTTGTGCGTTCTTTAGAGACTGACTGATAAGCGCGATGTCGTCAGCGAAATCAGTATCTGTAAGATATTAGGCAGGGAATCTCATGAACGTTACAAATTCAAATAAAGAATAGGATGTGCCAGAGGTAGTTCCAACCAACAACGTAAATTACTACAAACCTAAAAGATCAACCTGAAAACTGGAGTTATGCTCTTAGCCTCGTCAGATTGAGACATTCGCATAGATGTCATGAATACCACCAAACCCGTTTAGAAATATCTAATCGGTCTGTTATATACAATCGCTTTCTATCTTCAATGGTGTAAAAATAGCTTGAGAGAATAAGGCCTGAGGGTCTTGGCAAAGATTATCCTTCTTTGAACCTTGTAGACTGGTGCTACAGATTCACAAAGAACTGTACCAAATAACAGAAACCACATCACTTGACGATTACCAAGATCGACAACAACTAACACATGCAACTTGTAGAGAAAGTAATGACCACACACAAACAGGCTGATAGAAATAGAAAATTTTTTAATATAATTAGTGTAACCGTTCGCAACGGCAATTTTTATATAGTGTTGATGTTAGAAAAAATGAGATTGAAGCATTGTATTCTCATTAACCAACACAATGAGAGCATTACAACTGTTTTTATTCCGATTAATATGAAAATTTTAAAGTCTGCTTTTCAAGTTACAGTATCTCACCTCTTTGAAGATTGGCGCAATAAAAATATCCTTGTTTTTGGCCTTGAGCCATACTAACATGACTATCCATAAGAGAGGTGATCTGTTTGTCATATTTACATGTTATCACCAATGACAGTGATCGATGTTCGAACTCTGATTTTTACTAAATACACAACAGTAATTCTTAGTGTTAATATCAAGAAAATTATATTCACGCCTTGTGTTAACATTAACCCCCATAATGATATTATAAACAAAAATATCCCTCTACATTTAAATTAGTTTACTTTTTAAACTCATTAAAAATGAAGTTTGAATGTTTTTTTTGTTTTTTTTTAGGTTAGAAAAATTTCTTTACTTGGTTGACTAGCGTAACACGTTTACGGATTTTGTTTTCCGCTGCTGTTTTGTGTTTTACAAAGTTAAGTTTAGTAAATACTGAAGACATAAAACTATTGAGGCATTTACTTCCGAGAGATAAGAGCTTCTTTTGGTATCGTATACGCGGGCGCGGTTGGAGGGTAAGAATCATGACAATATAATCACTAAGTATCTCTCTCTCTCTCTCCTTTTCTTACGGATCAACATGTTTTCTCTCTATTTCCCCTCTCTCTTCAAATCTCTGGGTTCATTTTTTTTTTTCATTTGTCAAATTATTTGCCTCTTTCTCATTTTCCTTTATTTCTTCAAGTATTTTCTAGTTTTTATCCTTTCTTCCTCTTTTCATCGCACAAATCATTTGCTACCTCTCTTTCTCTCTCTCCCTTGCTTTATTTCATGTCACTTACACTACAGTTCAAAATTTTGAGATCACCCCTTGTATTTTTTTTAAATTGGCCCAAAAGTAGTTGTTTTGTATTTTAAATAAGAGAAAATTAGTGTACATGGTTAAAAAAGACATAATTTTTATTAGAAATTTTATTAAGACAAAAAAAGAAAACAAAAGCATTTATAATTAAATTTTGCTTTCGTCAAAATATCCTCCTTTAGTCTTGATTACTACAGTTGAGCAATGGATAGCAGGCCGGATTGAGGATTCGGAGAGCTGAGTTCGAATTCCAGTCAAATCCATTTCATTCACTTACGTACAAATAATCTTGGGAAAGGTATGAATACTATTCTTCTATCCCACCCCCATAAGTAAATAGCAGGACAGACCGGGTTTTATAGATTTGGATGGCAACTGGTTTACAGCAGAAAGAAATGTCAACCTACTCCGAGAAAAATATCTGCCACGTCAGTCATGTATCGAAAGATACATGATCGCCTAAGCGTGTATCACGCATGACACACATCTGACTGCAGCATAAATTTTTGGCTTTCGTTATAAAAGTTTCTCAAAGTGTCAGTTTGATAATAGATTCCGTTGTTTTTTCAATGATTCTAAGAGCTTTTTTTCATTTTTGTATCACTCTTCTGTCAAGTTCATCCCATGCTGATTCTGGGAGGGGCCTTAAAACTTTTAAATTTTAGCGTACCTCAGCTCATTATTGATATTGCATTGATATTGTATCTTTTCTTTTTTAGCTCATTTCTCTCTCTCTCACTCTCACTCTCTCTCTCACTCTCACTCTCTCTCTCTCTCTCTCTGACTCTCTCTCTCTCACTCTCTCTCTCTCTCTGTGTTCATCACTCAAATTTCCTCTCAAACATATTCCTTCGCTCCCTCTTTCTCCTCTCATTATTCTGTCTTTCTTTCCTCTCTCTATTTTCTCCTCCTTTTTATTTTCTGAGTCTTTCCTTTTATTTTTCTCTCTTTCCCTTTCTCGCTGTTTCATTTTCAATCTCTTTCCTTTTCTAACTCTTTCTCTTTCTCTCTTTACTTTCTCTCTCTCTTTCCTTTTATTTCTCTTTCCTTTTCAAGTCTCTCTCTCTATTTTCTTGTAAGTTTCTTAAGCCTTCTTCTTTCTGGTATATATTACCCACAGCTAAATACAACATATAACAACAAAAGCTTTTTTTTTATTGTATTCTTTAATATCTTACCCTGAGCTTCTTGGCAAACCATAGCCTTCAGCAGTCTTTGATGAAGAGGCGTAATATAATTCTTGTATTTATAAATAATTCCGAGATATCGGACATAGAAATAACATTGATTAACACAACACCCTTTATCTTTGTACCGTGTCCCTTCAGGGCGTAGGCGATCATGACTCTCCACAATTCCCTGTCTGTTGTAGCTCTTAGTAAAATTTGTCTTTATGCTATCTCTCCTAATCCCTGTTCTGACAAAACATTTATGGGTAGGTTATGTGCTACTTCCCCCCCGTCGCTCTTGCTTTCATTATGTCATGTAAGTGTTAAATTTTCTAATCCCTCTATCCTCGTTATGTGCTCTATAAATTTCAATTGACTCTTGCTACATATAAATGGCCTATTTGTTCTATTTTTGAAAAACTACGTCGTTGCTCACACGTTTAGTCCATAGTATTTTTATATCCTTCTGTAGATCTACATTTCTTTTTGTCCTTAGTTTTTTCTCCATCTATGAGAAGATAGTTAACCCTTCACCGCCATATAGTTGTGCCGATATCACAGAACAGTTCATTGCTCTTTTCTTTGTTTCCAATTAAAATTTCCCGTTTCTCAATACTTTGCTTAATTTCTGGATGACATCTTTCGCCGTCCTAATGCCCTTTCGGATTTCGCTATTGCATTTTCCGTCTTCAGTTAAAATTAATTTTTTGATATTTAAATTTGTGCACTCATGTAATTTTGGTATCTCCAATTTGTAATTCGCATGTTAAGCTCTTTCTTCTGTTGTCAACCATATATTCTGTCCTCTTACACTTACCGTTTAGTTCTTTCTTCTCGCTTTTCTTCCCTGCCTTCTATAGGAGTTCCTGCAGTTTCGTTTTTGATTTTCTGCTATAAACGCTGTCATCTGCATATCTAATGCTGTTAAGATTTTGGACGTCTGTGACACTATTTAGCTATGGTAATTGACTAACTTTGGAAAAACGAAAATACTTAAGGCGAGAAAAGACCTATAACGAAAAACATACCAAGCACATTATTTTTTTTTAATAAAAAAGAAAAATGAGTAAAGATTTTATTTTCAACGAAGAAAAAGGTTTTTTTTGCAGAAGATTTCGTAAGAAAAGCGGGTATCGGATTTTGTCAGAATTAATTAATGTCATGACGCTACAAGGGAAACAGAATACGGATAAAGAATAACAATCTGCCCACACGTGTGGCAATAATAAAAAATTTCAATTAGGTAAGCGGCATAAAAGCAGAAAAGATAATCAAAACTGGGTCAAGCATGCGACCGAAAATTCAAGACCACCCCAAAGAATAGCCACCAATTATCTTTCGGAGATATCATTTGCTTTTGGTTCTTGTGTCCAGCGAGGAGAAAAATCTGTTGTATGTCCGGTTCTTGATATTAGGAGATAGGGTCGAGAAGGGGAAATCTTTGTTACTACCTGTTCGAACTATTAACGACAGACTTTCTGTCGTCGAGAGCGGGTGTCTGAGAGTGCGATGATGTTGAGACGAGAAAGACAAAGAGATTTAGTCGACCACCCAGTTAAATTAATACCTTTCCAATTTTTCTACCATTTATTTTGTTAATTTTCTACTCTTTCAGATGTAACATACAGAGATTTTTGCTGCTTCTCTGTTCTCATATAACTTAGCTATATTAATAACTGGCTAAAGTTTGTAATATCTGGATGGCCTAGGAGGTATTTTAGTAATTTGGTTTCTTTCGGAGTTTCTTTGGAAATGTAAACACTGATCAGGTTTTCCTAACGCGAATGAGGATTGGCTCGTATGATTTTAATAATTCTTAGTTGTGATTGGTACCACTCAAAAACTATTTTTCCAGGAACTCATCATAATTGTTTTGTTCAGGAGTGGGATAGAATTAGGAAGTTTCTTTTCTTTTTTTTCTTTTTTTTCTGAGTTCGAATACTTTTATCCGCTTAGAACAATTTCACTTTTTATTTCTCTGTTTTTTCTTTCTCATTTTTCTTTATTTTTCTTTGCCTTCCTTTTCTTCTTTTCTTTCTTCTATTTTCCTACTTTTCTTTCTTTCGCTTTTCCTTTCTTTCTTTCGCTTTTCCTTTCTTTCTTTCTTTCGCTTTTCCTTCCTTTCTTTCTTTCTCTTTTCCTTTCTTTCTTTCTCTTTTCCTTTCTTTCTTTCTCTTTTTCTTTCTTTCTTTCTTTCTCTTTTCCTTTCTTCCATTCTTTCTTTCTTTCTTTCTCTCTTCCTTTCTTTCTTGCTTACTTTCTTTCTCTTTTCCTTTCCTTCTTTCTTTCCCTTTTCCTTCCTTTGGTTCTTTCTGTTCTTTTTTCTTTCTTTCTATCTTCCTTTCTTTCTTTCTTTCTATCTTCCATCCTTTCTTTCTTACTATTTCCATCCTTTCTTTCTTTCTTTCTTTATCTTTTCCTTCCTCTCTTCCCTTCTTCCTCTTTTCCTTTCTTTCTCATACTGTATATCGTTCTGCCTCTTTACCTTTCTTTCTTTCTTTCTTTCTGCTATGGGATCTTACCCATAATAATAATAATGGACTATTCCATACTTAATAAATACTGCGCCTCATGAGTAGGAAAGGAGTCAGTCAGTAGGCGGAGTCAGTAGTTCAAGCCGAGTCAGTAGTTCAAATCGAGTTGAGTCAGAGGCAGTCCGGAACAGAGTCGCGTTCAGACAATTACTGCCAGACATTGGAATAGTGATACTGGTCGAGACTACATTGTTCTCTCTACTAAACCTGATTGTTCATACTAACACTTCTACTTCTCTGTATATATTCCTGTTTATAATATATCTGTGTTATTCCATATCCGTGTTCGAGTTCTTTATTGGTTCTACCTTGGATTATCACCGGGGTACAAGGAACCGGACCATAACACTTTCTTTCGATTCTGCTTTCTTTTTTTATTTAGTTATTTCTTTTTCATTCTCTCTCTTTCTTTCTTTCTTTCTTTCTTTATCTTTTACTTCTTTTTTTCCTGTCCTTTCTTCTTTTATTTATTTCTCTTGCTTTTCTTTTCTTAATCAACATTTGAAAATTCTGATTTTTAACTATTCGAATACAAATGCTATCCTTTCAGTAGAGGCAATTATCTAACCTTTTTTTTTCTTTATTTCTCTCCTTCTGTTTTTCTCTTATCTGTCTCTTTTTTTCTTTCTTTCTACTTTGCTTTCTCTTTTTGTTTTATTTATTTTCCTTCTTTCCTTGCTTTCTCTTTTTCTTCCTTCCTCTTTCTTTTCTTTTTTTCTTTCTTTTTCTTCTTTTCTTTCATTAGTTCTCCTTCTTATATTTCTTTATCTTTTTTGTCTTTCTCTTTTTTTTTGCTTTTTATTTTCTCACTTTTTGCTCTTTTTCATTTTTCCTTTTTTAAATTTAATTCTCTTCTGTAAGATCGTTATGTTCCCCATCTCTCTCTGTCTTTATATATATATATATATATATATATATATATATATATGTGTGTGTGTTTTAATCTCCCTCGGTTTCTTTTTATTGCTTACTGCTTTCGTTTTCCGTTTTCTCAACGACCCCATGATCTCCACACTGATTCCCTTAGTCCGACCCCCAGATTACTTTCTAATTAAATGATACACATCAGTAACCAAAAGAGAACGCAAGTAGATGAGATTTTTTTTTCCTCGAGGGGGAAATGGAATGGAAGAGGAACTAAAGAAATTCCTTGTTTCAGAAAATGGACAAACGGAAATTTCAGACAAGAAAACCGGTAAAAAAAAAAAGATTTTAGGGGAGCCAATTTTATACAAATGATTTATATATACATAGACTAAGAAGAGCATGGATCCCACTATAAGGATCTCTGGTGATACGTTTTTGACTTTTACATTTAATAGAATACAAGACACGAGTTAGAACCATCTAGTGAGAATCAAACTCTGTCGAGTAATGGTCTACGTTTATTAGTATCTTCACAAATATTCAATGGCAAGGCGCCTATATATTTAACTAGATCCGCTTCCTCTGGCGGCAAATCCGTGTAAGGATTGAACTCACAAAAATCATTGTAACTTGCAAAACTATTCTACAAACCCCTGCTCAACGGTGACTCATTCTTAGTTATTTTACATGGCTTCGTTTTGTTTAAAGCCATAGGTTAAAGGATATCAAAAATGAAAAAGTAAATATGTTTGTAGAGTCAGAGCTTGTATTTCCCCAATTATGCGTGTTATCATATCCATGGTATTCTAACACGGACGGAACGGAATGCCAAACATGCTTTGTGCTCAGAGACATTCATATACTGCTAAGATATAAACAAACTATATATATATATACACACACATATATATATATATATATATAGAGAGAGAGACACACACACACACACATATATATATATATATATATATATACACACACACACACACACATAAATATAGATATATATATACACACATATATATATATATATATATATATATATATATATATATATGCTGGACGTATGAGGGTCAAGCAACTCAGTTCTAGGAAACGACAGCCAGACACCTGGACATGTGATATGAATATCGTGGTGAAGACTTTGTGCAGAACCAGCCACACTTTTTGAAGAGCCGAATACAGAGACCTGGTACACTATATGTCACAAGGCTCCCAAACGAATCTCTACATGTTTTGAAATCAGAGTTGTCCTTCTCCTAGACCAGTTGCCATACTGGGCTATAGAACCCAGTCTGTCCTGCTATTTACCTATAGCTGAGAGGGAGAAGAGGAATCATACCTTTCTTTATGTAATTGAATGTAATCAACTCAAGCCGCTATCCATTATACCAATAATCCATTATATATATATATATATATATATATATATACATATTTATTAAAGACATTTTAATGTCTAACGTTCTTTTTATAGATACAAGTATTTAAGTAAATGCTCTGTTTATAATAAACAGTATTAAATAACATTTACCGGCCTGAATGTCCGAGAAATTTTCATAGAAAATATTCGTTCTTTGACAGGATTCGAACCTGCATCCTATACGGAACCGTCATTTACGCTGACGTGCCTTACCGATCGGCTACAAAGAAGCGTTCGGTAGACAAGGTTGAATTTACTGCTTATAAACTTCAATCTTCCATGAATCTCGTACATTCATAACTGCTCTGGCGTATCAAATGTAAACAAATGACGTCATATATTAAAAAAATGGACAAAAATGTCCGACAATTTATTTATTAAAACATTTTTATGTTTAACGTTCTTTTTATAGATACAAGTATTTAAGTAAATGCTCTGTTTATAATAAACAGTATTAAATAACATTTACCGGCCTGAATGTCCGAGAAAAATACTGTTTATACGTTAGAACGTTAAACATAAAAATGTCTTTAATAAATAAATTGTCGGACTTTGTCCATTTCTTAATATATATATACACACGTTTCATTAAATAATATAGACAAGTGTTGTCTATTTATTTTATGTTGGTCACACCACAAACTCGCTTTCACGACGCTTGACACTACATTTTAATGAAAACTCTAACATTTTTAGGCATTTAAAACAACATGCCTGCCCGCACACAAATTCCGTAAAATACTTGTCGAAAACACAACTATACTTCGACATGAAAACAATAGACAAAAAACTAAAAATACTTGAAGCATTATACATCAAACAGTTAAAACCCAACCTAAACAAAATCAACTATGGAATCTCTACAAATATTCTTAAATGTCTATAATTTCTATAATTGGTAACAGAAGCCATTGGTTTATACCAACGGCTTTCCTTATTTCATTCTACAATTCACTCTCGTGTAGTCATGTGTGACGTCATGAGATGCGGTGCGATTTTCGCTTCTAGCGTCTTATATGCGCGTGTTCATCGTTGCTTAGTGATCCACTATGTAAACAAAACAATGACAGACTATCATCGCTGTCGTGTCCGTATATTGTTTTTATATGTTTGTAATTACATCTTTGATAATGGCTTGAGTAAGCCGAAAGCTTAGATTTTATTAAAAATAATGGATAAATATTGTGAATTTCTTTTTTTCGGTTAATGATAATGTTACCAAACTTATCAGAAGATACGAAAAATTTTACATAAAAATAAATAGACAACACTTGTCTATATTATTTAATGAAACGTGTATAAATGAAAATATGCTGCCTAAATACACACAATATATATATATATATATATATATATATATATATATATATATATATATACACGCACACATTCACAGAGACACACGTGTACGTATGTCCCACGTGGAAAACAATATGTCATATATCTACACCGCAAGACAGAGTGTAAAAGAAACGAAAATGGAGATATTCCGGTATATGGAGAAGCCATATTTAGAACTCCAGATTCTGGATTTATCTATGTCCCCGATGAGGACATATTCCACGAACGGAAAACAGCGAATTTTGGGTTTCCAAAATTGAGGACTGCGAGCTGGAGTGACTTTCTATATCTAAGAAATATATATTCCAAAAGAGAAACGGCACGATGTGCTTATAATCTGCTAGGGGCGGCATATTTAGCCTCAGCCTGGGCCCTTCGAATCAGGCAAAAAGAAACCAACCAGTCGTAGTGGCTGCTGTAAATTAACTATCGCTTTAATCACTGTACGATTTTACGTCATTAAGCAGCCGTCACGTGACCTACGTGACTTATCTCCACTAAAGGGAGATACGTGTCTCGTGTGTCCCTACGTATTGTTTAATAATTTAATTTCCAATTAAAATTGGAAATTAAAAATACTTTTCGTTTTTCTTATTTCTCAACTTTATTTATTCATTCTGTTTTCAGATAAACACGCGCATTTTCTCCAATGCTAGCTAAATTAAAACCTAAAATAATTTATTGTTTTCTAGGGTTTCTTGCGGATTTTGTTTGTAGCTCTCTGCTTCCTCTATAACTTTTATTTATCGTTTTATATTGTTGATCGACTAAATTACCTACAAGAAATTAACAACATTTCTTGACAACCCAAATATCTACTTATGCATCGATTTAAGGTTGCTAAGGTAAGTATTCGACCTAGAAACTTTGTCTGAAATCGCTAGAGAACGTGCAATTAGATACAGAATAACCACCATTTACGAGCATACGGTCGTTCAAGGTTTGTTCTTTTTGTTTTGCAGCGCAGTGTTGACTGTAGGCGAGTGATTAAAGTCAGACCTACTTGAGGAGTAACAGATTAATTAATTTAAGCTAAACCCAAATTAAAAAAAAATGTCTATTAATTTTCCAGCTTAATTCTATTCTAAACAAAATATTTGTAGACGTTTTCTATGGCTTTTTAGACAGTCGTTTTCAAATAAAATGGCGTTGCGATGTTTTGTACTTATGATAAAAAAGAATCGCAAGGTCTTCTGGGAAACAGAAAAATGATAAGATACTCAACAATCATTGAATATAAAACAGAACCAGAACCTCAATTTTGCGGAAGAGGCTGCCGATTTTTCGGACATTAAAATCTTAACCTCTTTATGTCTAATGTCATTCGTTATCTATTCGTCATATCTTCGTAAGAACTTCCCTCTTTTTTGATTGGTGTTTGGGCCTTGTAACGAGAGATATTTATTAAGAAATGGAGTCCTTACCTTGTCAAATGCAAATCTGGTTGTTCCAGTGCATAAAAACTGCAATGGAAGAATTGAAGTAAAAATTGATTTGAATCATTGATCATTGAAAATGACAAAAAAAGTACATCAGTCGTAGTAAAAACTGATAATCGAAATAAATTTAATTTAGATTTGATCACCGAAATTAGGCAACATCGATTCTGGTTACTACCTCGATGTTGAACTGTTTGGGGAAACCAGGCTCCTGGATGTGCGGTTGGTGTAATAGATAACGGTTCGGAATTGTTAATCAGAAATCCGAGTTCCAATTCCCGTTGAGTTGGTTATATTCACTTACTTGCTAGATACCGTTGTAAGAATCCATATCTTCTCTTCCACGTCTAAGGGTTAATTAGTAAGGCTTGTATCTCTAAACCATCATTATCTAAGAAAAAGAAATCATACAATCTAAAAATAATGTCTGGTTTTAAATAACGTGCAGTGGGTTGATAAACCGTAAAAACGAATCTATCAAATCAAATTGTTTTTAGTATTGCTCAGTTATTACACATGTCTGTGCTACCCGGCCCACGGATTGAACTGGAAATTAGTATCTCTCCAAATTCAGGAACTGATGTTTCAATCCAACCATATTTTATCTCGTGGGACTTCTTATGCCTGAAAAACCAACATTTACCTTGAAATGTTAGAATTATGACCGATTATGATTTACAGAACTGTCTGTACTATTTAAACATACACAATTAATTTTGCTACCATTCAGAGGATATAGAGGTTGTGACGATAGAAATTAAAACTGTGTTCATAATCAATGTTACTCCTT